CTGAGACAAAAAGGCTCTACAGGAATTAGGGTCTCCGTTGTAGGGTGGAGGGTTGTTGCAACGGGGCTCCGGATCATGATGACGGAGAGGACCCCCCTGGGCTGCCTCATGCTGTAGGTCCTGGACGAGTGCAGTTAGCTCTGCCACTTGATTGGCCAGGAATTCCACCTCCCTGGTGGTGTTGGTTAATCTAGCCTCATGCTGGCCTAAGAGTGCACCCTGCTGGGTGACTGCGGTTCTGACCGTGTCTGAACCTGCTGCGTCCATTCTCTGGTCAGATCGTACAGTCAGGAATGGGACTGGAAGGACACAAATGCAGGTTCAAATTAAAGATTTTAATGAACAGCAAAGCCAGTAGTCAGGGTCACAAAATAACAGCCAAAAAAATAACACAAAAATCCAAAAAGATCAAACAAATAGTCTTTAGGACCTCCTCCGTTACCGGGTATGTAAAGAGAAAAATAAAAATTTCCGAGGGGGAAAAAGTCTCTCGGCCAGTGGCGCGCTGCACACAAGGGGAAAAAACAACAAAAAACGGCCGGGGTTAAGACAGCAAAAAATATATTGAGAAAAGAATGTCCTTACAAACTCCTCCGGTAGAGGGCGCACTATGGCCCGGCTGTTTTATATGTGACTGACGAGAGTGAGCGAGGGAGAGGGGAAGCCGGACGGCAGGTGATGTCGGAGAACTCAGTGCGGAGGGGATGACGGTGCCTGAGAACAGAGGGATATAAGCCAAAAGGGAACACACACAAGAAGGACAGAGCGCTAGAAGCTAGATGACGGCCAGGCGAAACACAACTGGAAGGGATAACACCAACCAACACGACAGGACTAGAGAGACAACCCGGAAGACAGTTACACGGACTGACACACAACGATCTGACACAGGATGACACACAAGAGGGAACTAAATAGGGGAAGGAACATAACTAAATCCAGGTGAGACCAATTAAATCATGATAATAGTAAAAGGTAACAAGGGGGAGGGAGGAATATACGTTGAGCACAAGGTGACAGACCAAAACAAAACATCCGCGCGTGCTAATGACAAGACAACATAAACAAAGGCGGCGTGATCAAACCAGGGGTGTGACAGTTTGCTTTAGTGTAATGTTGCTTTTTTTGAGCTGAGCTGATTGTGTGTAGTGTTTGCTGTTGTGTAGTTTTTGCTGTGTTTACCCTGTTTGCTTTAGTGTAGTGTTGTGTCGCTGTTTTTGAGCTGAGCTGATTGTGTGTAGTGTTTGGTGTTGTGTAGTGTTTGCTGTGTTTCCACTGTTTGTTTTAGTGTTGTGTCGCTCTTTTTGAGCTGTGCTGATACAGATTTGCTGTTGGTTGTTTTTGTCTTGTTTGATTTAGTTGTGCTGTGTTTGCTGTTTTTTTTTTTAGTGTTTAGAGTTTCTGTGTTTTGTGTTTGCTGATTATAAAGTTGTTAGTTTTGCAGTGTTTCCTGGGACTGATGTTTCTGCATATAGGTAAAGTTGGTTTTATTTTCACACATTCGTTCAGTGACACACTCCTTATGCTGTTGACCACGGCACTTTGAACATTTGGTCTGAAATATCCTGCAAGTGTGACTTAAAAAAAAAAGACATGAGCACTATTTATTTAATTAATACTTTTATGAAATTATATTATTAAGGAGAAAGTCCGGATGTTTGAATATAAAACCAACTTTACCTCTTGTTTCAGCAGTGTTTTTGTCCTGTGTTTGGTGTTTTCCTGGTTGCTGTTTCTGCAGTGTGTTTCCTTTATTACTTTGATTTTTGCTTGGCTTTTTCAGTATTGTGTTTTGCTGTGATAGTGTTTTCAGTGTTTCCTTTTTCCCTGTTTTTGCAGTGTTTGATTTTTTTCCTGTGTTTGGTGTTTTTCTGATTTTGCTGTTTTGCAGTGTTTGGCGTCTCTTCAGTGTTCGCTTCTATTGCTGTGTTTGCTGTTTTAATGTGTGACATATTTGCAGTGTTTGCTTTATTTCAAATGTTTGCTGTTTCTTTAGTGTTTGCTTTTATTGCTGTGTTTGCTGTTTAAAGGTGTGATATATTTGCAAGGTTTGCTTTATTCCAGTGTTTGCTGCAGTGTTTGATTTGTTGAGGTAATGTTGGTTTTATATTCACACATTTGGGCTTTCTCCCTAATAATATCATTTCAGAAAATAATTATTTGCAAATTCTAAATGGAGAAATCATATTAGCAGCCAATGACTATCAAAGTACACCATTATTCACAGTCAAATAAATAGTGCTGATGTTATTTTGAAGTCATACTTTCATGCAATTTAAAACCCAATATTCGATGTAGCATGGTCAACAATAGGCTATATGGAGCGTGTCACAGGTTGTCAGTGAACGAATGTCTGAATATAAAACCAACTTTACTATATAGCGTTTGATGTGTTCAGTTTTTGAAGTGTTGTTGTTGTTTTGTGTATTTGAAGTTTATTAATTTTCTAGCATTAACTGCTTTTGCGGTGTTCTGTCTATTTGCTTTTTTCACTGTTTGGTTTATTCATTGTTTGCAATTTTGCATTATTTTAGTGTGTTCGCCGTTTTGGCAGATTTTATAGTGTTTACTGTATTTTATTAGTTGTTTTTACAGGGATTGGTGAATCATGCAATGTTCACTTTTTCTAGAGAGTTTTTTCAGGTCTTTCCAATAATATCCAGCTGCAGGCCCGCAGAACCACACACGTTTTAGGCACACACAATCTAGGACACACTATTTAGGCAAACCATATATGGTAACTAACTCTTTAGCATTATCGCCACCTATTAAATTTCACAAATATGGTTTCCTATTTCAGTCATTATTTTTATTATTTTATCGTTACGATCATTTTAACATCTCTGCAGTTTCTGAACTCAAATTATGTAAATAAAAATAATTGGTTAAAGACACTTATGACTTTATTCATGTGTCCACATACACAAAGAAAATATTATAGACTGTCTAATTGTTGTATCAAGTGTAACTAACTAATTCAAGCTCTTAATATTATCATGCTTGGTTAAAATCACTTTGTTGTAAAATATAAAAAGCAATCAATAATATGTCACTTTAAAATGAATTATCCTACATAGTTAATCAACTGATTATCTTAACTGATTATAAGTTTATATATAAACTACTATCTTTTACTAAACCGTCAAAGCTGTTTTATATATGTATATATGTTTATATATGTTTTATGTATGTTTTATATATATATATATATATATATATATATATATATATATATATATATATATATATATATATATATATATATATATATATGGGTTCAAGCTTTTCTCTGGCCTAAGGTTTCTGGGTCTCTGGGGTTACTGCTTTCTTGGAGGGTTTTCTGCTTGGGTCTCTTTCTTAGGTCTTAAGTTTCTCTTTATGTCTTAACTTAGTTTCTGTGCTTCCGAGGTGTGGCCTCGGGCACACGCTTTATAAGGATTGTTTGTATTCTCCCTTCAGGGCCAGGTTGACCAATCAGAAATTAACTTCCCTGAGACATGCTTTATGACTCTTTGTTTAGAAGTATAGGGATTTGCATAGGTCAGGGATGGCCAACCCTGTTCCTGGAGAGCCACCTTCCTGCAGATTTCAGTTGCAATCCATATCAAACACACCTGCCTAATATTATCACGTGGTCTTCAGGTCCTAATTAATTGGTTCAGGTGTGTTTGATATGGGTAGCAACTGAAATCTGCAGGAAGGTGGCTCTCCAGGAACAGGGTTGGCCACCCCTGGCATAGGTATTTAGATGTTAACTGAGGCAGAAATGTTCAAGTTTCTTAAAATGTGAATATGTTGCATTCGTGTTAACAAAAAATGTAAACAATCAGCACACCAAATTAGCTTCAAAAGGACTCCAAACATGAGCTGTTTATAAGCTTGTTTAGCTGCGGTAAAGTTAAACATTGATTGCAGAAGTATTAAAACCATAATAGTAATACAGGAGCAAGAGAAACGTTGCAATACACATGAATACACATAAAGAGAGAATAAAAGTTTACATTAAAATATCAGTCTTAAGCAAGAAGCTTATAGAAGTTCTGACCATGTCTCTGTCCAGTGCTGTTGGCACATTCCTTTGGGTCATAAATACCTTAGAATCAGATTAAAACTGTCCATTTAGTCTTTTCCTGGGCAGAAGTTGGTGGTGTGTTGGCAGATGCATTTGTTGAATAAAAGCAAAATAATTATGTGTCTGATGGGCCATATTCGTTACACTGATATTCCACCCATAACATTGAAAATAGCATTTATCAGCCAATATCGATAAGGCTGACCAATACATTGTGTATCCATTATATATATATATATATAATATATATATTAGGGATACACGATAGACAGACAGACAGACAGACAGATAGATAGATAGATAGATAGATAGATAGATAGATAGATAGATAGATAGATAGATAGATAGATAGATAGATAGATAGATAGATAGATAGATAGATTTGACGACTAGTACAGTTTTGGAATATTGTTAGATTTTTTAAAATTTGATTATTGAAATATGTTATTTAAAAAACAAACTCTTGAGCACATTCAAATGAACACACTTCCACAGAACAATGGAAAAAACTACGTAGGAAGTGAAATGACAAAGGTCTTTGTTAAATGAAATAAACAAATGCTGTGTCTTGCTGAATGACAAATGAGAGCAGATAAACACATAGTCTAAAGCTGCAGAACGTAACTTCAGACTGAGGACAGAAACACGTCACCTCTGAGGTAAAAACTACTCACATCTATATTATTTAATGATATCACACTGATGATGACACACACTTCTGATATCTGTTGATATTCTTATTAATTATTTACTCCACATTCATGTTTTACCTGTTGCAAAGTTTTACTCCAAGTTAGGTTGATTATCTATATTTTTCTTCCTCAGAAATGGCTCAAACTTTATATTTCACTCTTCTCATTGGTGAGTGTGTTTGTAGTTTTATTTATGATTTAAACAGTTTGGAAAAACATTAAAGCAAAGTGTCTCTTTCACAGCTCTCTGCTCCATATCTGAATGTGTTCAGCGTCAGTATCACTTTATTACTGAGAAGAAGACCTGGACTGAAGCTCAGAGATACTGCAGAGAGAATTACACAGATCTGGCTACCGTTGACAACATGAACGACATGATCCAGCTGGTAAAGACTGTGAATAATGGAGGTTTTCAGAATATCTGGATTGGTCTTATGAGGGCGAGTGTTTATACGTGGCATTGGTCTTCAGGTGATTCTGTGCTCTTTCTGAACTGGGCATCTGGACAACCAGCCGGCAGTGAAAACTGTACTTATATGAGTAATGGACAGTGGACTGTCGAGCCATGTAATATGACTTTATCCTTCATCTGCTACAACAGTGAGTACAAACCTCAAACTTTCATTGAAGAAAACTTCAATAAGAAATGTACGTGTGACATTAGTAAACCATCTAAATTATTATAAATGAAAAACAAAAACAGTTCAAATCAATTATTCGTAATGTTGGGCCAGATATATTGTTCATGTTTCACTTGCATCAGTGGAGCTTCTCTTCAGTTGATCTGCCTTTAACTGTAACATTTTAACTAAACTGAACAGAATCAGTTTTATTTTACTTAAACTATTTCAGCATTCTACATTACTCTTCTGCCTGCCTGATATGCTGGCATGTTGCAAAATCTGAAATTGACACAATCTACTTTGTAACTAGAGGTATTTACCAGCATGGACCACACCACCCTTTGGGATCAGTTTTTATTGAGGAAGATGAAGGGATGAAAGGAATTGTGTAGGATGAAAAGCGATGCTGGAGGGATGGTAAGGTAACCGTGAGGTGAAGAGAAATAGAAGTAATATAATAATGAACAAGAAGGTAGGAGGATTGAGCATCCTATGATGCTGCCCAGGGAATCAGATTGGGGGTAGCTTCTTTTTAATGCTTTGGAAGAGTGATTAGTACACCCAATTCAACATAGGAGGTACAAGAAGGTTATAGGGATTGTAAGGAAAACAAGGAAATAGAGGGAGGGAGGGTGGGTTCGTGAAAACGAGATGAACAGTGCTAGAGGGCTGATCTGCCTTGAATAATTTTAAGAGTAGGTGATTGGATACGGAAGCAAAGTGGGGCATGGTCCTGCTCCTGTACCTTTGTTAACAAGTTAACTCTATTTCATAAGCATGGACCACACCACATTTTGAGGCAGACTTTATTGTGTAGGATGAAGGCATGAATGGAATTGTGTAGGATGTATGGATGAAAAGCAATGCAGGAGGGATGGTAAGGTAACAGTGGGTGAAGGGAAATGGAATTAATAGAATAATTACTAAATAGATTAACAAGCAGTCTTTATTGTGGATGAAGAGATGAAAGGCATTGTGTAGGATGTAGGGAAGAAAAGGGATGGTAAGGGAACAGTGGGATGAAGAAAAATGGAAGTAAAAGAATAATAGAGTAGGTAGGTTGATTGGGCATCCTTCGATGCTGCCCAGAGACTCAGAGTGTGTATCAATGTAATTTGCAGATGATCCCTAACACTGTGTGCATGAATGTCAGGCAAATATGAAACAATAACCAACTTTACCGAGCTGATTTAACTGTCTTTCAAAGATTTTAGTACTAACAAGTTGTTAATGTCACAAGACCTAATACAGTATACAATACGACTTCATCACAAGGCCTACCGCACTTACGCTGCAGTTTCTCTGCCCACCAAGAAAGCCCGCAACTCCTTCTGTGGGACGGAAGTTTGATGTTTGGTTCTCCTGTGTCCCGTGTTCCTCTTGCTGTACCAATGCAGCAGCTGCTTCATGTAAAAGCTGACTAACAGTTTTTACCATTTTACTTCTGTTATACTGTATTTACACTAGTAACTCACGCTGTCCCATCCATCAAAACCTTGCTTCTGCTCTCCGGCTCTGTGTGTGTAAAAGCACTCGACGTCACTTGAATACGCCCCTCCCACTGATTAGCATAGGCTTTGCATACAGCTTTAAGTTGAAAATTAAATCGAAAATAAAAACTGAAATGAAAAAGTGTCAATAAAAGGAAAGCTTAAATTTACATTTTCATTTAAATTGTGTCACTATTATAGCGTGAACATTAATAACACGCTTTGTAAAAGTTGTTTGCATTTTATTTTTCAGTTTGGCTTTTTATAATATTGGCAGTCTTGACGTGGAAATGCAGTAAAAATGAAATGTTAAATTGGCAACTTCATTTTAATTATCAATTTGACAGGGACAATGTGTTGTCAAAGTAAAAATGAAAATTAAATAATTTCGTTTCATATTCAATTTTGGCAGATATTTTGCGAACAGTGTTTTATAATGAAATTGTTAATCTGATTTTCATTTTCATTTCCAATGTTTATTTGATTTATTTCAAATTGGCTCGATTTACCTTCCATAAGTGTGGGTGCCTTCTCTGTAATGTGTTGGTAGAGGGATTAGGACCCCCAATGTTTGATGAGAGCTGGGGTTTGCTTGAGCTTGGTAAAAGACATAGAGATTCATGCAGATTTTAGCAATATGCTTGTGATGAACTAGATACGAGTATCCTGATATTTAGTCTGGGATCATAGATCTTGTCTGCCGGCTGAGGTAGAGTCTCTGATGCAGGAAGAATGTATAGAATGATGTTTCTGAGATGTTCTGCAGATGCAGAGGATTTGGTAAAGTGCTTGATGAACTGGAACCTTGTGGTCATAGTAAAAATGATGAGCTTTAAAGCATTTTAATCTGGTTAAGATAGCTGAGAGCATGCTAGGTGGAAGACTGGATTGGTATTAGCCTCATAGGAAACGGAGGAACTTCTTAATCTTTCATGAATTCCGCTCCTCTTGCCACTTACTTGAAAAGAACCATTGGAGGAAGGTCTGATATCTGAAGGAGGAATTAACATCTATTCGCAGCTTGATTTAAACCTTTAAATTTTTGGATCTCCTTACTTCCGGGCGCAGCAATACTGCCATTGTGGCTGGTGTATTTTGGGAAATTTTCTTACCCCTTGGTTTCGAGTGTGGGTCCCAAAAATCTTCATTTGAAGGACTATTCACCTCTTTCCCTTAGCACCCTATGCCTTCAAACTAAAGAGAATTGGGACAGCCCTTCCGCTTGACATGAACATGCAAAACGATGAGAAAGGGGAAGGGCTAAGGCAGGGGTGGCCAACCCTGTTCCTGGAGAGCCACCTTCCTGCAGATTTCAGTTGCTACCCATATCAAACACACCTGAACCAATTAATTAGGACCTGAAGACCACATGATAATTACAGGCAGGTGTGTTTGATAAAGGTTGCAACTGAATTCTGCAGGAAGGTGGCTCTCCAGGAACAGGGTTGGCCACCCCTAGGCTAAGGGGTAGAATTGGGATTGGGCCTTAAGAGTGAGAGAGAGTTTAATATGTGATATTTTATGTGTGTCTAATTCTGTATTTAAACTTTTTTTGTGGGGCCATTTTGGCCAGGACCCCTTGGTAGAAGAGATGCATATCTCAATTGGGAATTCTTGGTAAAATAAAAGATAAATAAAGGAAGAGGTGGTACGGTGCCCTATACAATCTGGGATGGGTGTTTGCGTCGGAAAAGTGGATGGGTAATATGGGGAAGGGTTGAGGAAGAGGTTAAGTAAATCTGGAAATGGCCAGAATGAGTCAAGTCTCTGGAGGCACTGGCTGTGGTATTTGACTAAATGGATAGTAGTGACTATGAGAGATGACAGGAGCCATATGACTATGGCCCAATCCCAATTCTATTTTTGTACCCCTACCCTTCCCTTGGTTGGCTCTTAAAACCAAGTGTAAAGGGGAAGGTCTTCAAAATTTCCCGCTAAGAAACAGGACAGCACTACAGCACCTGCACACATCAACATATGTCATCGCGATCTCTTGCTTCATATGAGATTAGATGATCGCGACTGCTGTTTTTATTCCAGTCCTGTCATTTTGGCTGGTGTATTCTGGGAAATTTTCTTACCTGTTGGTTTCAAGTGTGTGTTTTTTTTTTTTCAAAAATGAATAAAATAATGTTTCCATTTTATTGTTTTAAAGTGAGCACAGGACTGGTGTTTGTCAATCAGATGATGAACTGGAGAGACGCTCAGAGTTACTGCAGACAGAATCACACTGATCTGGTCAGTGTGAGGAACCAGAATGAGAATCAACAGCTGGAGAAGTTCATTCATGACAGAAACTCATCTGGATCTGCAGTCTGGATCGGTCTGTTCAGAGACACATGGCAGTGGTCAGATCAGAGCAACTCCTCATTCAGATACTGGGATACCATTGAACCAAACAATGATAAAGGTTGTGAAGACTGCACAGTGATCAATAAGTACGCTCAGAGACGATGGAATGACATTCCTTGTGGCTTGACATTTTCTTTTGTGTGTCATGAAGGTGAGCAGATCCTCCAAACATCATCAGCCCCAGATCTCTTAAAGTTGACTCTACATGTCTGACATGTCTAATTCCTCCACAGTGTTTGTTCTGCATGTTGTTGTTGATCAGTCTCTCTCTAGTTTCTGCTTTGTTTTGTGTCCAGATAAACTGATAGTGATCCAGCAGAATCTGTCGTGGTCTGAAGCTCTGAGATACTGCAGACAGAATCATGTGGATCTGGTCTCGGTTCAGTCAGTGGAGATGCAGCGTCGTGTGATGAACGTGGTTAAACTGGCGTCTACTGAGGCGGTGTGGTTGGGTTTACACCACTACTGCAGCATGAACATGTGGCTCTGGCTGACTGGAGACATTGTGTGCTATCAGAACTGGGCTCCAGGGAACGGCAGCACACCGGAAAACTGCAAACTGGAGAACAGAAAAGGAGCAGTTCAGTCTGGAGGAGATCAGACCTGGATCAGCCTTCCTGAATCTCACAGACTCAACTTCATCTGCACTAACTACTGAGAGTGAAAAAGATGTGTTTGTGTGTTTACTCACTTCCACTGTGTTTTTAATGAGTTAATCTGCTATATGTGCTTTAATAGCCAAGGGTTTTACTTCTGTATTTTATCTATCATGAAATAATATGTTCTTAACAACAATGTTTTAACATCAATGTTTAAGATTAAGGTTTAAGGTTCTTCACTTTAAGATTCTTTAGATGTGATGTGTGTGAACTGTTTCTAGATCTGCTGGTGTTTGGTCTCTTCATGTTTTGCTGAATGTGATTCTGTGAGCAGCAGATCTTCAGTAAATCATGATTTGTGTCTCAGCTGAATGAAATCTGCTTTATTCAGAAAGGCAGAAGAGAAGTTTGGGTATAAAATGTGATTGATCCTAAATCCTGAACTAAACAGAACATCAGATGAAATAAACTGATCTACAGTCAGTATTTTTGTCTCCTGTTTATTTGCTAATGTCTCTCCAGCATCACAGTAATCAGAAAATTAAGTGTAGTGCATATATTAAAGTGTGTTTAACTGTTGATTGTTTGGCTCAGATTTAGTATGGAAATTTCAGCTTCCTGGAATGAATGTTTCTGCAGGGATAATGGTATTTATTGTAACGCCTCCTGCTGGTTTCCATTTCCAGGCGTTGTATTTTAATGAACTCCTCCTATGGATTTTATCAGATCAACACCAAAATTGGGTTTTGTCATCTAAAGGCCTTGGTGATGTTATATTGCGAGATCTACAGTTTTCGTTGAAGGGCATGTCCGTGGCGACGTCGTAAACTTTGATGTTTCACCACGAAACAGGAGGTTGTTATTACTCAGGCATGCTATGTCTGATCTGCCTCAAAATGCATGTTTGAGTCCTGACCGGAACATGTTGACATGCCAATATGCAGTTACAGTTATAGTGCCACCTGCTGGCAACAGGGAATTGCATGTTTCATATTGTTAGAAACTCCTCCTACAAACCAGATCAGATCGAATTCTTGTTTCATTAGTTTAGTCCAAAGGCCTTTGTGATGTTAAATTATGAAGATCTAGAGTTTTCACCTAAGCGTGTGTCCATGGCAGGCTGACAACTTTCAGTGTATCACCATGGAAGAGAAAGTACTTAGCTATAACTCAACCAGACAATGTCTGATCTACCTGAAGATTCACATCTTCGATAAGATTCCTCTCCTGAAGACTTCTACATGCCAATATTAAGTCACAGTCATAGCGCCACCTGCTGACTGAAGGAAGTTTGGCACCTTAGTATTAGCCCCTTTAAGCTAACTTTTTTTTTCCTCAATAGTCTACAGAACAATCCATCGTTATACAATAACTTGCCTAATTACCCTAACCTGCCTAGTTACCCTAATTAACCTAGTTAATCCTTTAAATGTCACTTTAAGCTGTATAAAAGTGTCTTGAAAAATATCTTATTAGAAATGAGTTATTAAAGCTATTATGTTGAGAAATGTGTCGAAAAAAAATCTTCTTTCCGTTAAACAGAAATTGGGGGAAAAAATAAACGGGGGCTAATAATTCAGACGGGCTAATGATTCTGACTTTAACTGTATGTCAGCTTAAATTATTATGATTCACTGTTCTCTGTCATGCTAAGGCTACAGAGCAGCGGTGACCCCGTGTGCAGGGTCTCTTTTATTGCTACTTGCAGCTTTAATCTGCAATCTTCAAAAGCGGTTTAACATTTTTTATTTTATTTTTTGCATGCACAGTTTATATAGCCTGTCAATTAGATTATTTATGACTTGTTCTAGAATTACAGGTACATTTCATGCATTTTTTTATTCATTTTCCTTAAACCTGAATACTATACATTAAATATGGCTGGCTTCTTTTTTGGCTCTCAGCGGAGGCAGTCACATATTTCCCCCTCTCTCTCCCTTGTCTCTCCTGACTGGCTCCTCGTTTCGTCTGAGGGTGTACTCACACTGTACAGTTACCTTGAACCAGGCCAAAGCACGATTGTCCCCCCTCTCGTCTCCCCTACAGCCCGCACTCACATTACATTCGACCTGGGCACGCTTACGCCAGCAATGCAATTTCTTTAGTTATATCACTTTAGTGTTTTGACATGCAGTGACGCAGTCAGATATTTCACTTAACAGATCAGCCACTTTTGATACTCATAAACAATCATTAAGTTCTTGTGCTGCAGGAATTAGGTTTGCTGAAGGTGCAGTTGTCGTGCAGTGAGAGGTTTACATCTTTATTAAACTACGGCAGTTTGCGTTCAATGAACAGTAAGATTGATTAATAAATCCATATCAAACAGTCCCTTAAAAGTCACGTCTCGCTTTCAGTTTCGGGCTCAGCCGCATTATGCACACACACAAGCGTACCGCGCCAAAGCCCAAGTGAACCGCGCTCAGGCACACCTCTTCCAACCGGGCATGGGCCGGCCAAGTGAACCATGCCATGAACTGAGCCCGATTCAGCGCACTCACACTTCTCAAACGATGCGGGAAATGGGCCTGGGCATGGTTAGGATAGCATAGTGTGAGTAGGCCCTTATTCTATCTACAAGGCTCTCCTTGCCCTACTCTCCAAACAATAAGCAATCATGGATTTGGTTTCTGAATGCAGCTGACACTATCTTCTCGATGAGAACCCTGAGTTCGAGGGAACTCTACTGTCCGACAGGATTGTTTGCAGCTGGATACATGATGGATGGGTGGGAGAAGTGGCGCTTCGTGTGCCTGGCTGCTCTGTCCCTGGAGGATGTTGAATATATCTATTTATTCTGAACTTTGAAAACCGAATTATGCTGATTCGGTGGGGCCCTGGGGTATCGACAATTGATAAAAGTGGTCGAAACCTCACCAATCTGGCCGGCTGGATTGAAATGATGGTGAGCAGAGCTGTTAGTACTTAGACTGTGGTTATGGACCAAAAAATGAAAAACATCACAGAGAATCTAGCGGCTTTGCAACAAGATTTGGACAGACCTAGGGACCAGTGTTGGACATTAGATATCAGCGAAATTAGCAGATATTAACAAAAAATTTGCAACCTTTTACCCTTTTCTTTCGGCTTCCCCATGACACTCCTGCAAGACAGCCTCAGCCAAGGCTGTTGCTGAAGACAAACAACTTCCCCCGAAGAACAATATAATGAGACGCTCTCCTTCTCCCTGTTCCAAGGACACCTGACTTACACACACATGTGTACATAGCTACAGATAAACAATTACTTCCTCCCCTTGTCCTATGTCTTTGTGTGCTTTCACCGCTGGTGTGGGTAGTCGGGTCTGTGACCAGCGCTTTTCTAGCTGCAGGACCAGATGGTTGTCCCAGATCTCCACATCCCCTGTTGCGATATTATGTCTGTTTATGTGTTTGTTGCTGGGGGTTTTTTTACCCCCAGATCTCACACTACGCTACTTTAAGGACAGTCTGGGAGGGGCTTTTTTCCCCCTTTCTCACTTTTCCCTAATGAATCTTATTTTCTCTTTCTAAAACTACTACTCCTCTGACCTGTCTTCCCCTGAAATGTGGGATGTTTGTGTATGGTCAGAGGGGTCCAATTCTTCTGCATGTAACAGTTTAAAGGCTTTTTACATCATCATCATCATCAAATGTGTACTGTACAATATATACTATTTTATAGCTGAAATTACAAATAATACGATTCAATTCAACTTTATTTATATAGCACTTCTACAATGTAGATTGTGTCAAAGCAGCTTAACATTGAAGTTCTAGTAAATTGAAACAGTGTCAGTCCAGTTCCCCTTCGGGAGGGGAACTTCAATGCTATGTGGAAAGTTCCACTATGGGGGATTACGTCAGAATTCAATCATCTGAAAGAGTATACAATCTAGCCAATGAAACGCGGTTGGCACTCGGGCAGGTCTAAGGGTTCCAGTGGGAGTAAATCCGCCACCCCCAGGCTCGTGGACCTCTCGCTCCTCCATGCACTCCATCCAAGCTTCAAGAGAGAAGCGATCTGTCTAACCAGATGGTCGCCCTTTCGCTTGATGACACAGAGGACCAGATGTCCACTGCTGCATTGGAGAGTGGGCTATCATTGTCTCTCATGAGTGTTCCCTGATGTTTTACCTGATGTTAGTCTTTATTTAAAGGAATAAACAGTATTACCTATATATATATATATATATATATATATATATATATATATATATATATATATATATATATATATATATATATATATATATATATATATATAGTCTCACCAAATGAGGTTGCACAAATTTGGGTGCACCCCAAATACACACCATAACCGCCTTTAGAACTCATTCCATGCCTGGTCTCACCGGCATAAATAAGTGTGTGTGTATGTATATATATATATATATATATATTGGTTTATACAGGAATGGATTGGTCATAAAGGATGGGCATTTTCTCGCTGTTTAGAGTACATGGTTTATACATTTGTTATTGCTTTGCATTGTGGGATTGATCGAGTGCACTTCATAACTTTCATGATGGTTCCTCAAATAGTGCCCTATTTAAATGTATATGAGGCGATATCACATACAGTCAAGGAAATCTATTGGTCATTGACAATATCCAAGGTGAAAAACTGTGAAAAAAAGATAAGAAAATTCAATGCAAATGTTGTGTTTTTATTCTTGTGAAGCTGCTATGAAAATACGTTCTTATGAACCATACAGGCCTACTGAGTTTTCACCACATTCAAATGAAGAAGCTTGTAAAAATTACACCGTCATGGATCGAGACACGCTCACAGTACATGAATGAGGAAGAAAAATGAAAAAGGCCTTTGTTTAGAGTAAACAAATAATATGCTGAATGACGGATGAGAGCAGGTATCGAATAATCACACAGTCTGAAGCTGCAGACACAAACATCAGACTGAGGACAGAAACACCAAATCTGAGGTAAGAACTACTCACATCTACATTATATACACACAAACGCACTTCTGACATCTGTTGATGCTCTTATTAATCGTGTGCATTTGTTTCTCTTTTACCTGCTCAAATGTTTTACTCTAGAATGAATGTTTGTTCATCTATATTTCTCTTCCTCAGAAATGGCTCAATCTCTATATTCCTCTCTTCTCCTCATTGGTGAGTGTGTTCGTAGTTTTATTGATGGTTTATAGTTTCATTAGGTTTGACTTTGATTTGAAAAGCATTAAGCACTTTGTCTCTCTTTCACAGCTCTCTGCTCCATATCTGAATGTGTTCAGCGTCAGTATCACTTTATAAATGAGCAGAAGAACTGGACTGAAGCTCAGAGATACTGCAGAGAGAAATACACAGATCTGGCCACCACTGACAACATGAACGACATGATCCAGCTGAACAAGAGTGTGAATGATGAACGTGTCTGGATTGGTCTGAAGATGACCCATGATAATAATTGGCATTGGTCTTCAGGTGATCCTGTGCTCTTTCTGAACTGGGCATCTGGACAGCCATACAGCAAGGATAATTGTGCTGTTATGAGAAATGGACAGTGGGTTGTTGGGCCATGTAGTAACACCTCATTCTTCATCTGCTACAACAGTGAGTACAAACCTTCTACAATATAAAAATATTAGAATATACTAGAAAATGGGATGTATTATGCAATGCATTTTCATTTCATTAAAAAAATAGTTTCTTGTATGCGTGCTAAAGAATAGAGTCTGTTGGCGGGTTAATTGTTAGGCAAATACGTTTCTGTATATTGATTTAATATGTATTTATTTTCTATATATTGATTTAATAAAAACAAAATCAATTTGGTAAACAAACAAAAAGTATAAGTTGCATATCTGACATCTGAATGTATGACATTATAACAGTAAAATAGCATTTATGTTCAAGTGGCGCAGTGGGTAGCTCTGTCGCCTCAAAGCATGAAGGTCGCTGGTTCGATTCTCAGCTGGGTCATTTGACATTTCTGTGTGGAGTTTGCATGTTCTCCCTGTGTCATACCTGCCAACATTTGTCTAAAAATCCGGGGTTGTGTCTTTGTGACTTTACAAAGGCTGTAAAAACCAAAATGGGGGGTGGGGGGAGTTGTATCTAGTACCATTTTAAGACTTTAATAAGGCTGGAAAAACCGAAAAGTGGTGGGGAGGTGGCTGAAGGGGTGCCTGGTTTGTCCTATGCACCGCGCACCAGCTGCCATCGGAACAGGGGTCTTATAGATTGTACCAAACAACTGAGGACAGGGGGAAGGGGGTACGGGACACTCCTGGGAAAAATGGGAGTGTTGGCAGGTATGCCCTGTGTTGCCATGGGTTTCCTCCGGGTGCTCCGGTTTCCCCCACAGTCCAAACACATGCGCTATAGGGGAATTCAGGAAGCTAAATTTTCCATACAATATTCACATTTAGCTTTGCCATCGTTCTTCACCACATATAGCCACTCAACACATCTTGCGGTCCATCTTTAATGTTTAGATTATTGAAGGTGCTATTGATGTTTTGAGAAAAAAAAATTAATAGTACTGAAACTAAATTATTAAAAATAAACTTGCGGGACTTCATTTATGTCCTGCGGCAACGTTATTTTTATTACACTTTAAGTGATCTGCTTGAGGTAGGTCACGTTTATCAATGGTAAGTTTTAGCCTAAGTTTACATCAATAACATAATGTGCATTGTCCTTTACCATACAAAAAAAGTAAAAAAAAAACAAACATTTATTTATATAGCATTTATTTTTAAATACATTAAAAAACAAGCGCATATCTTAGCCTTGAGTTTGTTCACACTCTGCCTGTATTAACATAAATGCTGTATTTTAATATAGCTAATTTTGATTAGCTTTAACTGACAGCTTTTTCTTCTTTTTCCGCGGTTATGCGGCATTATATTTCACACGCATATGCAAGGTGACTGAATATGAAATTAAAATACAAAACTTACTGAGCCATTAAGTAAAAAAACAAAACAAAACAACAGTTATACTTTAAAGCAGAACATTGACGTTTTGAAACAAAAAAACGGAACTGAAACTAAATTATTAAAAATAAACCTGCCAGACTTAATTTATGTCCTATTTTCATTATTTATTTATTTTCATTATTCGTTTATTATTATGTACTATAATTGAAACATAAAATGAGATAGTAAAATATAGTCAACAACGAAAATGTAAATAAAAACGTAAATTAAAAACATAAATAAAAATATCTTGTCTTAGTCCTATCAAAATAGCAAACTACATCTCTCTATATTTAGACTAAAAGACTGCTTTATTTATTTATTAATTTATTTATTTATTTATTTATTTAGGACTACTTATTTGTACTGAATGTTTATGCTTTCACTTTAGTTGTCTTTCATTTCTTCAATTCTATTTTCCAAAACGAATCCTCTTTGCACTTAAAAAGTTTACAATAAACCAGGTAAACAAATTTTAAATGTAAGTTGAGGTGATCGCAAGTTCACAACTGTGAGGTGATGTGCTCTACCGGCAGGATAATCTATATTATTTTGCTGTTTTTTATATGCGCACGTTTAGGATTTGAGATAATAACATTGCCATGATAGTCAAAGAAATCAAAACATTATTTTCACCCCAACGCAATTTAATCGGGCACTGAAGGCTAATAACTTAATTCTTATATTTGCTTTTTGACTTCTCACCATGTATCTTTTCTACAGCATAGTATAGTGTAAGAGCATGTTTATTACCAGAAAAAACAAATTAAAATTATATTTTAATTGAACACATCACATCACATACAGTAAGCTACGCCTACAGAACAGTCTGTTTAGCATTGTGAAAAGGCAAAGCTGAATATCTGTGGTTAAAGTGCCACCCAGCGGTCAAATGCTGCTGGCGCATCAAGTACCGCCGTCGCCGCGGTATGAATGGCGGCACAAGGAACACATTGAAGTAGTAACATCTGTAGTGTATGTGTGTGAATTAAAGTGTATGGGTGCTCCTCAGTGATGGGTTGCAGCCGGAAGGCCATCCACTGTGTAAAACATAAGCTGGAATAGTTGGCGGTTCATTTCGATGTGACAAACCCCTGATTAACAAAGAGACTTAGCCGGAAATAAAATAAATGAATGAATGTTCATATTCTACACATGCAGAAGCCTATTTTATCATATGTACTTATTATAACGTGCACTTCTGAATATAATAATACATGTATGTAGGTTTCAGACATAGCTCAATTTAGCTAAAAAACTGTGCTTTGTAGAAAAAAAAACTGCAAAAAACCTGAACCACAGTCAAATACACTGAAGCAGCTAAGCTTTTCAGGAACCTGTAAAAATACACAAGCTGCTGTGCTTGAAGCATAATAATAAGGTTGGAAATAAACGGTTTTAAACAACTAAAACACCTGAAATAGCATTTAAAAGACATTAAAATGTTATTTCTGTTTCTGGTCACTGAAGAAGAGACATTGTTCTGCTACTAAAGAGCATAGATGTTAAAGATGATAGAAACTGACAGATGGAGCAATTATAAATGCAAAAACAAATCATTGTGGCTAAATATGGACTACTTCTGTTATTTAAACCATCTTAGGCATTTATTAAGCAAACTTTAACATTTAGCATAACAACATTATACAGATCGTGCTGACCAGTGTCAAAAGCTCCTAAAATTCTGAGAAAACCTCTTGGCTTTAGAATGATGATAGATGTTTAAGACCAGAAAAAGAAAGACCATTCAGTTTAAATGCCAAGGATTCAAATAACAAAAAGCAAGGCATCGGTTAGAGCCACTTAGGAGCGGTGAATAACAGCCAAACCACCACTTCTGCCAGTAGAGCGCAGCCAGTCTAAGTTAGTGTAGCCAGGCAGAGCACACACATTTAGATTAAGGCCGTCATTTGGCTAATGCCACATTTGAAACAGACAGACAAAGCTGAGTTTTTTGCCCACAGCTCACAAATATAAGCTGCTCCATTGTTTCAGGAGCAAACATTCAGATCTGTAAACCTGACTTTGTTGAGGCGGGCTCTGCTGGAAGCTGCACACTTCTAAGGATAGGCAAGAATCCTGAAGTGGAGATCAATATCAACAAACCAAAATGCCTCTGAGACCACACTGAGGTTAATGCAGTAACATTAATGTTTACTTAAAGAAGGATGAATTAAGGCCAGTGTAGGAGTTGTGCAGTGCAGTGTTAAAAACATGTAGCCATAAGGCACAGTACTAATAGAGTTCCAAAGCAGAGTATTTGATCATGATGAAATCCATTTGATCAAAGCAGATCTTGCCATAAACTCCAAATAAATCAAGGCTAAAAGGAAGTGACTGCATATTAGCAGCAGTTTTGTCCCTAAACCAAACATCAGTAGATGCAATATTAAGATTATTTATTCATTTTCTTTTCGGCTTAGTCCCTTTATTATTTCGGGGTCGCCACAGCGGAATAAACCGCAAACTTATCCAGCACATGTTTTACACAGCGGATGCCCTTCCAGCTGCAACCCATCTCTGGGAAACATCCATACACACTCATACACTACGGACAATTTTTAGATTACCCAATTCACCTATACTCATGACTGTGGTGGAAACCGGAGCACCCGGAAAAAATCCACGCGAACATAGGGAGAACATGCAAACCCCATACAGTAATGCCAACTGACCCAGCCGAGCCTCAAACCAGTTGCCTTCTTGCTGTGAGGCCACAGCACTACCTACTGTGCCACTGCTTCGCCCAATATTAAGATTATACGCTTATTAAAACAACAACAAACTGAAACAGTTTTACAGACACTGGTAGAGAAGCAGCAGCCAAATAGTGCAAGTGACCTTTCATACAAGACATGATCAAAAAGAAAATCATAAAAGAGAAGATATAAAAAATCACGTAAACAAAAATATGATTGAATGATATTTAATACCTTTGTAATGGACACATGCAAGGGATGCTTTATAATATCCATGACACTAAATATTTACACCATTTGTAAGAGTGTTTAACAATCTATTTCTTTCTTAACAAGCATTTCTGCTGATTTCACTGCTGCACATGTTCCTGCTTTTTATTCATTCATTTGTTTATTTAAAGTGAGCAGAGGACTGGTGTTTGTCAGTCAGTTGATGAACTGGAGAGACGCTCAGAGTTACTGCAGACAGAATCACATTGATCTGGTCAGTGTGAGGAACCAGAATGAAAATCAACAGCTGGAGAAGTTCATTAATGACAGAAACTCATCTGGATCTGCAGTCTGGATCGGTCTGTTCAGAGACACATGGCAGTGGTCAGATCAGAGCAACTCCTCATTCAGATACTGGAAACCTGATCTACCTGTTAATCAATATTATGAAGACTGTGTTGGGGTTGAACGCTACACTCAGGGACATTGGGATGAATACCTCTGTAGTTCCCCGTTTACCTTTGTATGTTATGAAGGTGAGCAGATCCTCCAAACACACTCAAAAAATCCTCAGCTCGAGAGGACTGTTGCACAAAACTACATGAACAAACTCTGGGGTGCAGAGTATGTTTCGGCTTGACAATTACAAAGAAATCTAAACTGCTTACAGCAGGGGTGTCCAAAGTCGGTCCTGGAGGGCCGGTGTCCTGCTGAGTTTAACTACAACTTGCTTCAACACACTTGTCAGGAAGTTTCTAGTATATCTAATAAGAGCTTGATTAGCTTGTTCAGGTGTGTTTGATTAGGGTTGGAGCTAAACTCTGCAGTACACCGGCCCTCCAGGTCAGTTTGGACACCCCAGGCTTATAGTCATGGTATGTTGTTTTATAACACTTAATATAACCATTCTCCATCAACACTGGGTTTAATCCATGTTTAATGATCAAATGATCATGAATGTTAATTAAACAGTGGATGTGCAGCTAAAAGCCAATCACATGACACAGTAGAGAGTCAGTTTGAGCAAAGCCCCTTTAAGGGAGTCAGCACAATGGGCTGTATGCACAACTAGTGTTTTTTGGCCACAGCTAAACTACTGATGAAAGGTTAATGTGAGTATTTTCAATTTGATAAGGGTTCTTTTACAGCATCATTGATGTTTTGTAATTGAAATATAATTAGTAAAATAGACGTAAACATTCTTTTAGTAGTTCACAACTAAAATGAGATGAAAAGCCGTTTAAATGCAAGCACCATCAGTAGCAGCAGTCGAGCACAGAAACTCACCGAACGATTGTCCAGTCTGATTTAAATACACAAACACGATGGCAAGTTCCCACATGTCGACACCAGATTCACAGCACCTGTGCGCTCCTGATGAAACCTGTCAGTAAGACAGTGGAGAGAGTGGAGAGAAGAGAACCACAACCAAAAGAAACAAAAAAAAAAACATGTACAACACAAATAAAACTCACTCAACTTCACAAACCAATAACTTTTCTTTTTATGTTTTTTCTTCAATAACAAAAAAAAAACTACATAACAGCAGTGAAGATCATTGATTTGTAAAGAAAGCACACCTTTAACATCGATTTAATATATCAGTTTCATGACAGTTCACTGGAAGCGCTTGAACTTGGTTACTGAAAATGAAGTCCCCTGTCCACTTCTCTGTTGAAGTGTCATTTATGCTATCATTAGAATTATACAATTATTATTATTTCCTCATCTTTAGCTTAGTCCCTTATTTATCCGGGGTTACCACAGCAGTTCATGTTTTAGGTTGCTGAAAGAATCCTTTGCTCCTTTGGTTTCTCGCGTGCCATGCTCTCGTTTTCTGTTTCTAAAAGGATCGGATGTCAGAAGCACTTAAATAATCATGTTCCCATTATTATCATCAGCTCAAGAAGTTCATTATTTCAAATATAGACACATGGCGAGCTTTCTCTGGAGGAAGTGAAACCACTCGTGCTTTAGATGGCCTCTTAAATAACAACAGGACAAAGCAGGTTCTGCTCTTCCTCTTGGCTTTGTGGCTGTTCATCAAGATGACACCAAAATTTGTCCTTTTTAGTCGACCATGGCTTGTTGTTATATGTATATATTATTATGGTATAATGTCCTGGCTGTGTATTTAAAAATAGCCTGATCCGGAGCACCCAGTGGAAACCCACGCCAACATGGGGAGAACATGCAAACTCCACACATTATTATTATTATAATAATTTTTATATACCACAGACATACTATGTTTCCCGGAAGTTCCGGGAGTCTCCTGCAAATGCATGGAGACTCCCGGATGTCCGCAAACAAATCATAATCTTCCGGAAATCACGCGTCTCCCACCCATTCTTTAAATACGATGCACAACCCTCTCCACCACAACCCTACCAGCTCTTCAGGTACATCGGGCACAACTCAACCCCACCGATCTTCAGGGCTGTCGCATGCAACTTACCCCTACCTCTTTTAAGGTATGTCGCGTGCAACTTGTATGTCGCGAGGTGCTAGAGGTGGAATCCGAAACCGGCTTAAACGCCGTGGCAGTCGGTTCCCTCTTCCAACTATATCGTTAACTAACACTCGCTCGCTACAGAATAAAATGCCAGAACTTGAAGCACTGATAAAGTACAATAGAGACTTCAATAGAGCTAATCTTATCTGCATCACAGAGACTTGGCTGACGGAGGCAACGGATATAAATCTTGATGGATACACATTAATCCGTATGGACCGTGACAGCGGCAAATCCACAAAAACAGTTGGAGGAGGACTGTGTATGTTCATTGATAGTAAGTGGACAACGAATATTACGGTACGTGAAACGCACTGTTCGGCTGATTATGAACTTTTGACGGTCTCATTCAGACCATTTTATTTACCTCGTGAATTTGGACAAATAACAGTTATTTTAGTCTATGTTCCTGGGCCAAATTTTGTTCAGGCTGCTGAGGGCATTGCAGCAAGTTATAATACAGCACTGTGCAACTCTGGGAATAACCTGGTTTTCTTGCTGGGAGACTTCAATAAATGTGACGTATCTACCTTGCTTCCGAATCTTGAACAATATGTAACCTGTCTGACCAGACTGGATAAGACTCTGGATAAATGTTTTGGTAATGTGAAAGATGCATATGCGCCAAGAGTGCATCCACCTCTGGGGCGCTCGGATCATAATGTCATCCACCTGTTACCAAGATATAGGCAACAATTAAAGAAGAACGACCCGGCTATTCAGCAGGTTCAGATATGGTCCAAAGACACAATTGAACAGCTACGAGGGTGTTTCGAGTGTACAGAGTGGGACCTATTTTTTAATGATTATGATTGTAGTAATAATTATGAAATGTTGAATGACACAATAACTGGTTATGTTAACTTCTGTGTAAACTCTGTTGTTAAATCTAAGTGCGTCAAAATCTATCCAAATAACAAGCCATGGATAACTAAAGATTTAAAATATTTTTTAAATTTGAAAAAAATAGCTTTTTTGCAGAATGATCAGCAGAAGGTAAAGGAGTTAAACAGAGTAGTTAAAAGTAAGATAAAAAGTGCACAGAATGAATATAAAGAAAAGGTGGAGCAGAAATTACAAACAGGAGATGTAAGAGAGGCATGGAAGGGACTAGATATATTAATGGGTAGACAAAAGGAAAAAGTTCAGCAATATGAGGATCCTTAAGCAGGTCGCACACCAGAAGCGCCACTCGGCGCCGCGACACGGCGCATACATGACAGATTAAAGTATCGCACACCAGATGCGCACATTCGAATGATATTTAACATGAAACTAATCAGATGGCGCTCTGTGGCGCGGCTGAAAAATGAACTGCGTCCTGAGCCGTCGCCGGGCGCCGCCGACAGCCGCCGACTTGCGGCGCCGGTGTGTGTATCCTGATAGAAACCTATGATTAGAATTCTAAAATACATGGCGCTGCGCGGCGCGCCGCCGAGCGTCGCTTCTGGTGTGCGACCTGCTTTACAGTCTTGCAAACAACCTTAACTCGTACTTTTCAAGATTTGATCATTCGAATGGGTCCAGTGTTAATAATTTAGATATAGTAGGAACTAAGACTCAGTCACAGACCATGATCATACAGGAAAGAGAGGTTATTGCAGTGCTTCATAATGTTAAATCACACAAGGCATCTGGCCCAGATGGCCTGAAGGGGAAAGTTTTAAAAGAGTGTGCGGAGCAATTGGGTTGTATGCACCAGACTGTTTCAAGTATTTCTAGACAATGGTTTTGTACCATTAGCCTGGAAAAATTCAATAGTTATTCCAGTACCTAAAATACCTCATGTAAAGTCCTTAAATGATTTTCGCCCAATCACGCTTACGTCTGTTCTTTGTAAATGTATGGAACGAATAGTGTGTAAGGAATTATCCTCTCAAGTTGAGAAGACAATGGATCCCTTGCAGTTTGCTTATAGGGCCAACAGGAGCACTGTGGATGCCTCTCTTACTCTCTTAAACAAAGTTCAACATCATCTAGATGGGCCAAATACGTATGTTAGAATACTTTTTATGGATTTCTCAGCTGCTTTTAATACTGTTCAACCTAATCTTCTTTTAGAACGTCTTTATAATTTAGGAGTAAGTAACTGGTTGATTATATGGATCAGAGAGTTTTTAAAAAACCGACCACAACGTGTCTGTGTTAACCATGCTATGTCTGACTGCTCTGTTTTAAATATAGGGGTACCTCAGGGATGTGTATTATCACCTCTTTTATTTTCTATATATATTAATGAACTGCAGTGCAATACTGATGACAATCTCACACTCATAAAATATGCTGATGATCTAGCATTGGTTTCCTGTCAGGAAGAAATAAATAGCTCTTTATATTTTAGATATATTGATAGTATTACAGATTGGTTTGGCAAAAGTTCATTACACCTAAATATTGGGAAAACAAAAGAGTTATGTCTGGGGAGTCAAACAAGAAGAGTAGATACTGAACTCTTTAAACCAGTCACCATAAACGGACAAATAGTAGAGCAGGTTTCAAATTTCAAGTATTTGGGCACAATTATTGACAATAAACTGAATTTTAATAGTAATGTAGAGGCGGTCTATAAGAAAGCAAGTCAGCGCCTCTATCTCCTCCGCAAATTGAGAAGTTTTAATGTTAGTACACAGACTTTAAACTTGGCATATAGATCACTTATAGAGAGTGTTCTCACATATAATATTGTTTCATGGTTCGGTAACACAACACTTAAACAGAAAAAGAAATTAGCGCAAATTATAAATCAGGCAAATAAGATAACTGGTCACAAACAGCATTCATTGCAGATTTTATTTGACTCTTTTATGGAAAAAAGAGCAGTTGTGATTTTTAAAGATAATACACATCCCCTTCACTCAGCATTTGAATTGCTACCATCAGGACGCAGGTTTAGAATTCCTAAAGCACGAAGAAATGCCTATAAAAAGTCATTTATCCCAATGGCAGTTGTTGTTCTAAACCGGATCAATGTTTGTAGGAAATGAGGTGGTTACCAAGTATGATTTGCAGTATTGTGCATGGGACTAATTTGGTTTTTAAACTTTTAACCTATGTTGTTGTGTTGGTAAGTGTTATTGTGTCGTTGGTGTATGTTTGTAATTGTTGTCCTAAATCCAGTGTTGAAGAAAAATTTCCTTTTTGTGTCAAGCAGAACGGACAATAAAGTTTAAACTAAACTAAACTAAACTAAATTACCCCCACCGCTCTTCAGATACGATTTTGACTCAAATGCTTTCTGTAAAAAAACCTTTGATTTGTAATGTAAAACATTAAAATATTGCTATACTTCTAACCACCAATGTAAAAAAAAAAAAAAAATTCTCAGGAACTGGAAGTGTCTTCACATATATGTACATGACTTTTACTCTCAGCTGATTGGTCCAGTTTAGGTTTGAGATTTCAAAACCAGAATAAGACCTGCAATGGAGGGTAGGTTAACCATTTAGCTAAGTTACCATGCCAATGGATCCAGATAAAAACCAATCCATCTTCTTGATCTCAAACTCAGAGTTTACTAACTAAATGCAAACTAACCTGGGAGAAAACCCAAACCAGCTTTGTGCAACAGTCATCTAATGACTTAAAATTGAGTCTACATCAGAGGTCTCAAACTCCGTTTCTGGAGGGTCACAGCCTTGCACAATTTATCCTTAACCCTAATTATGTTTTTAACCCTGATTAAATTAATTGAGTTCTTCATGCTTGTTTGAAACCTGCAGGTATGTGTGTTGGAGCAGAATTTGAATGAATCTCTCCAGTAACTGAGTTTGACACCCTTCCCTACAAGTCTACAATGCAAATTCCTCCACAGTGTTTGTTCTGCATGTTGTTGTTGATCAGTCTCTCTCTAGTTTCTGCTTTGTTTTGTGTCCAGATAAACTGATTGTGATCCAGCAGAATCTGTCGTGGTCTGAAGCTCTGAGATACTGCAGACAGAATCATGTGGATCTGGTCTCGGTTCAGTCAGTGGAGATGCAGCGTCATGTGATGAACGTGGTTAAACTGGCGTCTACTGAGGCGGTGTGGTTGGGTTTACACAACTACTGCAGCATGAACATGTGGCTCTGGCTGAGTGGAGACATGGTGTGCTATCAGAACTGGGCTCCAGGGAACGGCAGCACACCGGAAAACTGCAAACTGGAGAACAGAAAAGGAGCAGTTCAGTCTGGAGGAGATCAGACCTGGATCAGCCTTCCTGAATCTCACAGACTCAACTTCATCTGCAGAAACTACTGAGAGTGAGAAAGATGTGTTTGTGTGTTTACTCACTTCCACTGTGTTTTTAACGAGTTAATCTGGTATATGTACTTTAATAGCCAAGGGTTTTACTTCTGTATTTTATCTATCATGAAATAATATGTTCTTAACAACAATGTTTTAACATCAATGTTTAAGATTAAGGTTTAAGGTTCTTCAGTTTAAGATTCTTTAGATGTGATGTGTGTGAACTGTTTCTAGATCTGCTGGTGTTTGGTCTCTTCATGTTTTGCTGAATGTGATTCTGTGAGCAGCAGATCTTCAGTAAATCATGATTTGTGTTTCAGCTGAATGAAATCTGCTTTATTCTGAAAGGCAGAAGAGAAGTTTGGGTATAAAATGTGATTGATCCTAAATCCTGAAATAAACAGAACATCAGATGAAATAAACTGATCTACAGTCAGTATTTTTGTCTCCTGTTTATTTGCTAATGTCTCTCCAGCATTACAGTAATCAGAAAATTAAGTGTAGTGCATATATTAAAGTGTGTTAAACTGTCTATTTGTTTGGCTCAGATTTAGTGTGGACATTTGAACTTCCTGGAATGAATGTTTCTGCAGGGATGATGGTTTTTATTGTAACGCCTCTTGCTGGTTTCCATTTCCAGGTGTTGTATTAACAAACACCTCCTATGAATTTTATCAGATCAACACCAAAATTAGGTTTTATCATCTAAAGGCCTTGGTGATGTTAAATTGCGAAGATCTACAGTTTACATTGAAGAGTGTGTCCGTAGCAGCCTCACAAACTTTGATGTTTCACCACAAAACAGAAAGTTATTATTAATCTGGCATGTTATGTCTGATCTGCCTCAAAATTCACGTTAGTTAAGAATCCTGACCTGAACATGTTGGCATGCCAATAGCAAGTTACAGTTATAGCACCACCTGCTGGCAACAGGGAATAGTTGCATGTTTTATACTGTAACAAACTCCTACAAATTTTATCCGATCAAATTATTGTTTAATTAGTTTAGTCCAAAGGCCTTTGTGTTGTTAAATTATGAAGATATAGAGTTTTCACCTAAGGGCATGTCCGTGACAATTTTCAGTGTATTACCATGGAAGAGGAAGTACTTGGCTATGAGTCAACCAGATAGTGTCTGATCTACCTGAAAATTCACAGGTTCGATTAGATTCCTCTCCTTAAGACATCTACATGCCAATATTAAGTCACAGTCATAGCGCCACCTGCTGACAGAAGTTCTTTTTGTTACGTCTTATTCTATCTCCAAGGCTCTCCTTGCCCTACTCTCCAAACAATAAGGAATTCTGGATCTGATCAACTGGTCTCTGAAAGCAACTGACACCATCCTCTCAATGAGAAGCCTGGGTTTGGGGGAAGCCAACTGTCCTGCAGGAATGTTTGCAGATGAATACATGATGGAAGGGTGGGAGAAGTGGCGCTTCATGTGTCTGGCCACTCTGTGTCTGGAGGATGTTGAAGATATCTATTTACTCAGAGTTAACAGGGTTTCTGCTGATAGGCTAAGGCGGGGCCCTGAGGTATTGAAGACTGATAAAAGTGGTCAGTGCGACTCAAAACCTCACCTAGCTGGCCGGCTGGATTGAAACGATGGTGACCAGAGCTGTTAGTACTCAAACTCTGGTTGTGGACCGCAAAATGGAAAACATTGCAGAGAAACTCACGACTTTGCAACAAGATTTGGACAGGCCTGGATCAGTGATGGACATTAGATATCAGCAAAATTGGCAGATATTGACACAAATTTAAAAACCTTTTTCTCTTTCGGCTTTCCTGTGACTATCCTGCAAGACAGCCTCAACCAAGGCTGTTTCTGGACATAAACAACTTCCCCCGGAAAACAAGATAATGAGATGCTCTGAATTTCTTCTCCCTGTTCCAAGGACACCTGTTAAGGCTCTACAGGCTTACACACACACACATGTCCACAGCTACAGATACATGTACTCCCCCCACATCTCACGCCTTTATGTGCTTTCACTGCTGGTTTGGGTAGTCGGGTCTGTGACAAGCGCTTTTCTAGCTGCAGGACCAGATGGTAGTGTCTCCACATCCTCTGTTGCGATGTTATGTCTATGTGTTTGTTGCTGGGGCTCCCCCCCGGGCTCCCAGACCCCCCCCCCCCCCCCCCCCCCGGATCTCACACTCCCTTACTTTAAGCTTTTTTTGCCTTTCTCCCTTTTCCCTAATGTATCTTATTTCCTCTTTCTAAAGTTCTAAAGCTACGTCTCATCTGATCTTTCTTCCCCTGAAATGTGTGATGTTTGTGTATGGTCAGCGGGGTCCAATTTTGCTGCATGTATCAGTGTATAAAGGCTTTTTACATCATCATCATCATCATCAAAGTGTACTGTACAATATGTACTATTTTATAGCTGAAATTACAATAAATACATTTCAATTCATCTTTATTTATATAGTGCTTTGACAATGTAGATTATGTCAAAGCAGCTTAACACTGAAGTTCTAGTAAATTAAAACTATCAGTCCAGCTACCCTTCGGGAGGGGAACTTCAATGCTATGTGGAAAGTTCCACTATGGGGGATTTCATCAGAATCCAATAATCAGAAAGAGTATACAATCTAGCTAATGAAATGCTAATGAGTTGCTACATACAATTAATCTTATATGTAAGCGCTGCATGTGGAAAGCAGAGGCATACTTTTAGCTTCAGATCCTTTCACGAATCGTCTGAGAGAGCTGATGAGGGTTTCTCCCTTGCCTGCCATTCTTTGGGTCTGGTCCTCCAGAGCTGTTTGTATTGCTGCTAAGTTTCCTAAAAGAGCAATACAGTTGTGCAGCGCGTCTTTTTCAGGATATTGTTCTGACCGTGTGTTTCTGGATGTGTGGTTTCCTGTCCCCGGATGATGGGCACGAACACAGCGTTTCATGTCTGGGGGTCCAGCATGTTAATGTGGTGCTCGCGGGCACTCCATGCCATCAAGCTGGTGATGCCAAAAGTCCAGCAGGGAGGCCTGATTCTAGGGTCTCATAGAAAACAACACCGCCAAAATCTGGGCCGAACAGGTTGCAGCCACTAGCTTCATTGTGCCACCTGGAATGCGACACACTCTACGCTCATAAACCCGCACACTCCACACATGATGAATTAGCCATTTCATTGTCAGGCATGCAAATATTTGAAACCTGATGCATGCTAGGATTTTTGTTGGGGAACAAATGATAGTTTATAATAATTCAATTCAGTTTTTAATTCAGCTTTATTTGTATAGCGCTTTTACAATGTAGATTGTGTCAAAGCAGCTTCACATAAATGGTCATAGTATCTTAAACAGAGTAGTTCAGTTTTTAGTGTTTAAGTTCAGTTCAGTTTAGCTCAGTTCAGTGTGGTTTAAAATCATTATTGAGAATCCAAACACTGAAGAGCAAATTCATCGATGCACAGCTCTAGCGATCCCAAAACCATGCAAGCTAGGGGCAACAGCGGAGAGGGAAAAAAACTTCACGGATAGGCGAGAGAAGAAAAAAAACCTTGAGAGAACCAGACTCAGTTGGGCACAGACCATTTTAATTTCTCCGCTGGCCAAAAGTCTTGTGCAGAGCTGCAGTCTCAGTGGTGGAGGCTAAAAGCTGGCCTGGAGCTGCTGTCCCTGGAGCGTCACAGGACGCTTTTTACAATAATGCTTACTTTAAAACGCGCGCCTACTGAAGGGCAGGACGGAGGGTGTGCCGCATCGCGGGGGCACTTTTGATCATTTTGGAAGGGCACTTTCTATCCAAGACTAAAAAGGGCATGTGCACTGCAAAGGTTGAGGCCTATGTGTGCACGTGCCTGCTCAGTGGTCATGACTTTGACGTTCTTATTACTTTTATTCCTTTATTCTAATTAGCATACTTTAGCTTTCCACCTGTGAATTTACAGTGCTTTCATATAGAGGTTTAATGAAATTAATTTATTTTGTCAAGAATAATTTTTACAATTTAAACAATTGACATTTGTACAGTCAGGATATTTTATATCAGGATATTTTATGTATATTAATGTAATTATATTCCATTCAAAGTGGTGCATTGTTATTGAACCTGCTGTTTATCATGAATAGGGCGTTAATTGATCTATGTGCTATAACATATATAACAGGATCATCAAAGTAACATTCAAAAAGCAACTCATGAAAACATCTTAATAATAGTAATGTCTTATTCAGATTAAGGCAAATATGTAAATTACTGATGTAAACATAGTAACTAGCTATGTTTCCATCCAACAATGCGAATGAACTTTATGCGCAAAACTGGAATATCGCATGAAAGAGGTGCGAATAAAGGAACGTTTCCTTCCAACTCGACAAAGCGAAAATTAAAAACAAAATCGTCACATCCTGATTAACTGGCACCAAATATCAACAGTAAAAACTGAATTTGCTGCGGTAGGAGAAGCTGCATCAATCTTTTCTTCATCTAATAAATCACTTGCGCCTCAGAAGGCAATCCTGACATGCAGTGAACACGCGGTGCGTTTGAAGATGTCAGACGAGGAGAACAGTTCAGACAGTTCTGTCTGAAGCTCTTATTTATTACTAAAAACACTATTTTGATTAAGAAATAATTATCATGATGTCATGAGAAAACGCAAAAAGGATATTGTTTAAGAACTTCAATTAAAAATGCAAGTAAAATAAAAAATAAGTCGAAATTCTCATTGTAAATACTCAACAGCCATATGATCAGAAATTTGCGTTAACAGGCAGTTGGACAGGTGTACCTAATAAAGTGGCCGATTCAGTGGATGTATGTATTTTTGTTCCTCTGCCTCATGTAGAAGATATACATCAGATGATCAGTGAACATCAACAAAAGTGCGTCAAGCAACGAAACTCTGCAAACTAAGGTAAGACATTTCCATTTGATTTTCAGACATGTAAGGACTACTTTTTTATGACACATTCTGATTTATTGTGATGACTGAACATTTAGTAGCCTCTTTTTATTAACATATAATAATAAAAGTTATGTTTTATTTATTCAATATGTGTTTTATTTACACAAAATGCTTATAAATGCATTGATAAAGAAATTGTGAAATGAATCCATATGACTCAACAGATTATTACTTACACTTAAAGTCTACATTAATGAGTAATGAGCACTGATGAAAAGAGGTTGATGTACAGCTGGATGGAGATTTTCTGGTAATTCAGTCTGACATATTCCCAGGCGTATCTTCTAAATAGCTTTTAGTATTACTCAAATTCAAGGCGTGTATCAGCTATTATAATTCATAACGAATCACATCAAAATAATTGTTCAACCATTCAGAAAAGAATGTCCCATAATGCTGTTCCGTCGCACCTACTTTTGTTATTACATGATTTGTCTCATGTGCTGGAATTTATTTGGGAAATGTGTTTGCATTGTCGTTTACATGCATTTTCTCTTATCGAATAAAAAGTTTACAG